TCAGGTTTCTGCCTGCCAGAATCACAGCCCGTGACCTTGGTTACATATCCAGACTCCTTTGGTACCTATTCATGTGTATCTGTTATGCATTTCAGCATTTTAAAGTCCATGCTAGCCTTCTCACCTCCTGACTCCTCCATATGCTAGTTCCCAGGCTGTCCCAGCTCACTCTCCTCCTTTAAAACCAGCAATAACCCTCAACCCCGATGCTCTCGATATTCTCTCCAATTTTCTCTGCCCAAGAGATGGTCCTGGCCATGGCCACTCTGCTTCTTGTCTTCTCTGCTCTGGATGCTTCTGGATGCCTCTGACTGTTCTCTCGTAGCTACAATAAATAACCCTCCCCTTAATCATAGAGACATCACTTCAGTGGTTTCTTTACTGTGCTCTTTGCTTGCACCTATCATGCAGGGAATGTTCAGTATTCTTTGGATAAACAAACGAGGTACACCTGGATTAGAACCAGAGTGGGATTTCTAAAAAGAGCACTCAGCACTGTGTAAGGGAGAAAGTCCAACAAGGGGGAGAGCCAGGCCTGCCTCCCTGCCCAGGTCTATATAAAATAACAGTCCTCAGCCTGCTGTGACGTCATAAAGATTTGTGGTTTGGAAAGGAACTTGCCCAGATCTGTGGTTTCTTTGCCAAACCAGATGTCTGACTTTAACAGGCTTCAAAAATTGAATGTTAGGGTTGGGAGTGTAGTTCAGCATGATAGAGTGTTTGCTTAGCATGCAACAAGCCCTGAGTTCCATGTTCAGCATTAGCCAGGTGGAATGGTATAGCATGGAATCCCAACACTTGGCAGATCGGGGTAGGAAGATCAAGAATTCAAAGTCATCCTTAGTTACAGAACAAGTTCGAGACCAGCTTGGTCTTTGAAACCCTGTCTTAATAAAACAAATCTCCCGTGGGATGTTCTCTCATCTGCCCCGTTGCCCCATCCAGTCTTTTTTGTACCCTCTCAACTGTGGCCCCTTCTAGTTTAAACCTGAGCTCTGGGGCTTTTCCTGATGGTGGTGACTCTTCCCAGGCCCACAGGTCTCACATGCCTCCTCTAGACAATGTCAACCATCTCCTCAAGCCAGGACCAGTGACTGGACTCTAGTGGCTCTCAACCTTCCTAATGCTGAGACCCTTTAACACAGTTCCTCATGGTGTGGTGACCCCAACCATAACATTACTTTTGTCGCGACTTCATAACTGTAATTCTGCTACTGCTATGAATTGTAATGTAAACAACTGATATGCCAGATATGTGACCCCTGTAAAAAGATCACTTAACCACCCCCCCAAAATGGCCGCAACCCACGACTTGATAAACGATGGACCCACACTAGGTGGGAGTCTTGCAGCAGAACTATGACACGCTCATGACTCAGGGTATGGTATTTGCTGCCCTGTTTCAAGAACTGCTTTTCTGGTAGAAATAAAACAATGTCTACTACTTCCTCTTTAAAAGGCCCCAAAAAGACAAAAAAACAATTCCACCAAAGTCCAACTTGGGGGAAACCAATGAATTTATTGGACTTATTTATGGAGCATGGGTGAGAGGCTACTATTCACAGGAGCCGGGAAGGACATCAAAACAAACAGCCTGGAAGTCTCCACCCTGTGGATAATTGTCTCTCCCCATAGCTGCAGCTGGAGTTCCAATCTTCCCCAGCTCATATAATTTACCATTGTGTGAGACCCTGGGCCCCACACAATTAAGGCAGAATTGCATACTGATGATTGGGAGAGTCGCTAAAATCTCAGGTGAGGCCCAGAGACCCTCCTCAGCCTCTGCTTATGAGGGACTGTAGTGAGATATTCACACTCCACCTCCCTGCATCTGTAGCGCTGACCACGCCCATTTGGGTTTGGGTGTGTGTGTGTGTGTGTGTGTGTGTGTGTGTGTGTATCTCACTACAAGGGATTACCAATAGTCAACAAGCACAATTGTAAGCAGGCACAGCTCATCTATTTTGCTTAAAGGACAGGGTTCTACAACACCTGCTCAACATTCTGGAAAGCTCCCCCTTCAAGCTTGTCTGTGCTAAGTGCACCTACATTCATTCACTCATTCATTCATTTGTTAAGGAGTCCCTAGCCTTACCCCTTCCTATAGAATGAGCATGGTCATAAATGCTGTGCATTCCATTGGCTCTCTTCTGATTCCCCCACAGAGCTGGAACTTCCTCCCAGAACTGTGGCCGGGTTATGCCAAACTCTTGTCCAAGTGCACAGTGTGTGCCTTTGGACCCAGGTACTGGTTATTAACAGGCCAGAAGGAAGCCCTGATCTCAGCTAGGGGGTTTCCTGGTGTTCCAGTTTCACTTGACAGCATCAAACAGCAAGCCAAGCCCACAAGCCCTGTTGATCAGGTGACAGGGGAGTCACTCAGGGCAAACTTGTTAGCCTTCCAAGGACACATCCCATCAGCTTAGTTGCTCATCCATCATGGCAAGTAGCTGATACTAGTTGGCTCTTTCTAATCCCCACTGAGCCCTGGATGCACTGAATGGACATGATACCACTCTGGTATTGTAGGGCCCATAAAACTGGCTCAGTTTCATCTATTCAGTTCAATCCACTATTGCTCTTTCAAGATTAAACAACAGAATGTTTGGCCTAAGGAGTAAATAATGGGTGTCTTGCCTTAAAAACAGGGTATTTGATTTAGAGTGTGGTTACTTGATGTTTTGGGTATTGAGAAGGTAATTATGCTTGCTTGTTCTTTTTGTCTTGGTAAGGAAGTCTTTTGCCTCCCCTTCTTTTGATTGGAGTATAAAAGAGCTTTGAATAAACTTGGGGTAGTTCCTGGTACTCACCAGTTGTCCTCCTGACTCTGTTCTATGTCTCTTGTCTTATTATCTTTTTCTACTTGCCATTTCGTATGCCACACTCCCCCTCAGGTACAAATTGGCTGGACATTACAAAAGCTCCCACATTGTGGGCTATAATATATTCCTGGTCTATGGGTTCAGTTCCCAGTATGATTGAGCCATGAAGAGATGGGAGGAATGTGAGGGTGAGTGATATACTACCACCTTCATGAATGAACAGTCTCTTGCAAGTTCTAAGCCTCTGTGAATTGTATTTGGCATTGTGCAAATGAGCTTAATGTATAAGCCTCTCCCAATTGCTGTCTGGCCTGTGGTCCTTTCCACGTGTTATTTCTACTGTTACATCATCCACCATAGGGCCTTCAGCAGAGCCCTGTATACTAAGCCTTTACATAAGTCTTCATCAAATGCCAGCCTCAGGTGTTTTGTTATGTAATACAAAATACACTAAGACAATTAATAGTATCAGAGGCAGTTCTCCTAGAGGCAATCTGCCCTATAAGCTCAACACTCTTGAATCAAGGCTGAGGCAAGAGGATCTCCACAAGTTCCAAGTCAATCTAGGTCACACAGTGAGACCCTTCCTCAAAGTAAAAACAATCGAAATTCTTGAGAACGGTTGCTGGGAATGTAAGATGATGCAGCTGCCCAAACAAACAGAACTGTCACATGATCCAGCAATTCCCCTCCTGGGAAATCTATCCAAATATTTGAAAGCAGGGTATCAGAGATATCTGTGTGCCATGCTTATGGGTACTTAATTCACAATAGTCAAGAGGGGAAGTGACTGAGCATGTTGTTCAAGGACAGGTGGGCTAACGCTATATATGCACAAAGGAATCTGATTCCTAAAGGGCAAAGTCTACCAAGAATGACAACACATGCTTACAATGCCAGCACTGAGTGGGCCAAGGCAAGACTGCCTGAGCTCCATAGGGAGAGTTAGAGATCCTTTTTCAACAACAAACAAAAATTCCCCAAGCAATTGTTAATGTGAGAACATAGCTTTGGGGAGAGGCCAAATTAAATTGTGTGCTGTGAAATGGGCAACTCCAAAAGGAAGTCACAAACTGCTTTAGACCTAATGTGTACCATTCTCAAACATGCCACCTCAAGACCAGCATCCAGCAAAACTCAGTGCTCTAGTCCTCCCCAACCCTCAACCAACCACCCTTCAGGCCAGCATGACTATTTAAAAGGACCACTTTCACTCACTCTTCCAACTGAGCTTTTATTTATTATTCCTGCATTAATGATCCAGTACCACAAGATAGCTATTTCTTACTGTACACTTCCACAGGTTATCAGTTCCACCACCTTCCACAAATGAAAGCTATCAAGCTACTACCCAGCAGTGAGGTTGGTACAAGTGGCTGCTTTTTAAGGAAACAAGAGCTTACTCCTGGCGCCAGGCCAGAAGTGATGATTCAGCCAGCTTCCTCTTCCCCTGGCAGGGAGGAGCCAGCAAGCAAATAATCCATGACTAAACTAAGGTTTTGTGCAGTCAGTGCTGACAGCGGGAAGTGTGGTCTCAGTAGTGTTCCTTCCTTTCTGACCCTGTCTGGGTTACTGCTATCACTTTTCCAAATACAGTGGCAGGATGCTGATGTGAAGCCAAAAGCTGGTAGCAAGACCTGCAGAGAACTCTGAACTCCCCTAAATGTTCTTGCCTTTGTCTCTGCCATATCTGCCAGAAAAGCCAAACAAGAGTCCAGCCTGGGCCATAGCTGCTCAGAAGTCAGGCAAGGGCCTGAATAGAGCACTTTCATCAAGAGGATGCATGTAAAGCACCTAGACACCCATGAGGCAGGTCTACCACTCTCCCCAACTTAGAGAGGGGGAAACAGGCTCAACGGGTAAGCCACAAGCTTGCCCAATGTCTCAATGCTACATGACAATAATGATGAGGCTTGTCAGGGCCCTTGCTTAGTAACTTAGTCCCCTAAAGTTATCCTTAGGACATAGGGCATCTAAGGAAGTAAGAGACAGGGAGCATAAGTCTCCTTTAAGGGCCTTACTTAACTCTTTAAGCTACTATGAGTGTGAACATATCTGTGGAAGAAGAGAGGTGGCAACAGCAACTGAACATTACCCTGCTAAAATGGATGAGGGAGCTCCAGGACACTGCACCCACCAGTCCAGAGAGAGATGCTTTATCCCAGAGTAGCACAGCAGTGAGCCCAGAAGACGTGGCTCAGGAAGCCAGTGACAACCTTGGATAGTCCTATGGCACTTTCTCTATACCTGTTGGGCACTAGGACAAGGTCTGCCTAGTGTCATCAGCAAACCCACAGGAATTGGGGAAAAGCATCCCTTACAGGAGGGGCGGTGTCGTGAACCAGCATGCGGTCAGGTGAGTGCTCTGACCCTGTCTACCAGACTGCTGCCTACCCTGTCTGTCTAGGGAGGACCGCTCCTGGCTCTCCCACTCTCTGTACCTTTCTCTCACTCCCTTCCTTCCTGAGCCTCCCTCATTTCTGCACTGGTGCTCTGGGCCAGCTCATCAGGCCAGTACTGGTCCTCCATGTACTGCTCCACGTCAGTGCTGCTGTCGGATCCCCTGTCCTCAGGGAGGGCCGGGGCAGTGTTGGCCTCTTGTTGTTCCCACTGTACTTCCACCAGCTTGTAGAGCTCCATGGCTGTCGTTGCATCTTCCACAGATGAGTGTCCCTGATGGCCTACCTATGAACAGGAGCAAAGAAACCAAAACACTAGGTGGTGAAATGGGCCTGACCATCAACCCAGAAGCAAAGGTGGCCTCCAAGGGTCAAGAGCACATACCCCAGAATAGAGGCTGTTATGATTTAGAAACGAAATATATCCCAAAGGCTCCTGTGTTATGGGCTTGTTCCCCAGCTGATAGTGCTATTTTGAGATGTACCAGAAACCCTAAGGTGGGATTCAGTTTAAGGAAACAAATTACCAGAAAACAACCTTAGAAGTATACTGTCTCTATTCCTTTCTCTGCTTCCTATTCACTGCAGGGTAGCTTCTGATGGCCCCACCGCGATGTTCTGCCTTAGTTCATGGATTCTACTAAACCTTGAACCATATTAAACCTCTCCTGATATGTTGGGGCTGGAGAGAATGCAAATCAGTTAAGAGCACTGGCTGCTCTTCTGCAGGACCCAGACTCATTTCCTAGCACCCACATGGCAACTCATAATTGTCTGTAACTCTAGTCCCAGAAGACCTGATGCCCTCTTCTAACCCCCCCAAAATACACCATGCATATTGTGCATAGGCATACATGCAGGCCAAACACTCACACACATTAAAAAAATAAGTAAAAATTCCTGCTCCAGAAGTTAGAAGATAGATATCAAAACATAACAGAGCAAGTGTCACAGGCCCCTTGATCTGAGTGTAAGTCAGAACACATCCTATGGGGATACAGGATATAGCCAGGAGTTAGGTGGGCAAAGACCTAAAGAGATGAGTCTAGAATTTGACTATTAGTGGGGAATTCACACAGGAAAGGAGGTGGCTACACCAGTGCTGTCTGTATGCAAGCAACAGTCCACAGGCCAGCAGCTGTGACAGCCAGATGAGGCCCCGCCCCATGAGATTCTGCATCACATACCTGGATCTTCTTGTGCAGCAGGTGCAGGGCCAGGTCCTTGAGAGAGACCCGAGCTCGGGTGTGGGAGCTGGGCTGGCTGAGCAGGTTTGGGACATGAGTGGTATCCCGCGTCTGGCTCCGAGGATGAACATACTTGAGGGCCTGGAAGTCATTGTGTAGTGCATGCCCCACCACCACCTTGCCCTTCAAGAGCTTAATGATCTGTGAGGAAAGAGGAGGCAGGAAGGCCCCAGTCAGGAAGGAGACACACCTGAGCACCCTTAGCACTGGTGCATGAACCACTCTAGAGGGATGTGTCAGTGGGGAAGGGGAGAGTCTATGAGCTCCAGTAGACCATGATGTTCCAAGTTTGAATAGATACCCATTTTAGCACCTGCAAAAGGGATACTGTCTCAGCATTTCAGGGAACAGTTGTGAGGGTAAAGGAAACTATGGATGTGAGCTATGCCTTCAAACTGGGAGATCCAAGCAACTTTGCACTGGCATAGGCACTTCTTGGCTGTAAGACCTCACCCTCTCAGGTCTCAGTTCATCAGCTTCCTTCATCCTTATCCACCTAGGAGCCCAGGTCCTTCTTTTAAGCTATCCACTTTCCAGGTATGCATTTAGCTTTTATACATTTTACACAACACATTAAGCTCTTGTGATGATCTAGCCCTCCCCCTCCCCCACAGTAAGCTTCACCTGACTTGACCAGTGATGCTCACCCAGAGCATAGTATCTACTGATTTGCTTCTGTTTGATGGGTCGATCCTTTTAAGGCAAGGCCCAATCTGCAATCCAGGCTAGAATTAACATCAATCCTCCTACCAGCCTTCCAGCCAACTTATCTTCTGATCAATATAGATCCGCTGAATGTGTTAGACACACAGTTAAGTAGGAGCCCTGGTTAGTACTCAATGACACAGTTCCCTGCTCCTGAGTGCACTGACTCCTACCTACCCTCTAAACCTGCTCTGCCGCTCAGTTTGGACACATCCTGTTCCCCCCTGCCTAGCAGCTTCCCCATGCTAACTCCTGGTCATTAGCTGCCTTCTACAGCCTACCCCTCCCTACTAGCATGGGACCCAGTTTTTGTGGCAGATGAGTAAGATGCATTTATACTTTTGATTGGGGTCACCACCAGTCTCATACTCCACTGCCATCAAGTGGAGAGAGTTCAAACCTAGACTTAAGTGCAAGTTAGCCTGCTCTGGGGATCAGACTAACAACCAGACACAGATGGGAGGGATCAAAGTTGGAGGGCTCACACAGACTTACCTTCCTACTGCTTCTATTCATGATCAAGTCTTTCCAAAGCAATGATTAGGGCATCACGGAATCTGTCTTACTTAGGGTTTCTACTGATGTGTTAAAACATTCCTAGTATATTAGTGGGATCCCAACTACTGATCATTATTTCCAAGCACTGGAAAACCATAAGGAGATAGGCTAAAGCAACAACCCTTGAATGTGATAGGACTATAGGCAAATTTTATAGTTTGTAAGTTTTGGTGCTCTATCTTTCACATAACTTTCCTACCAGCAGTACCCTGCCTAACAGCCTGGCACCCCTTTAGAGGCAGCACCTGGATTTATATTAACCCATACTCTGGAAAAGAAACCATATTTGGTGAAGTGATGTGACTTCTCAAGGCCCCACACTCCCCAGGTGACTTAAATCAGGGCTTCTCTCCCCAACCTGTCGTTCAGGTCAAACGAGACCCCAGAGTCCTCACCTCTTTCTGGGCCACCTGAAAGGGGATGGCCTTTCGCATGTGCTGGCGGGTAATGCCACTCCAGCGGGTGCGGTAGTCCACAATTGGCATCTCAGGGCGGATGTACTTGTCGTAGAGAACATCGCCATTGTAGCTCACTACAGAGCAACGGGCCAGCTCGCTCACCCGCCCACGAGGGCCTGTACCCACCATCTCACAGTCAATGGCAATACATTTGCTGGGTCCAGGCCTTGGAGCTTCTCTGGTGACAGGCCCTTTGCTGCATGGGCTACCACTGCCAGGCCTAGCTTTGGGACGCTGCCTTCTGCTGCCTAAAGCCTCTGAGTCTGCTGGCTTTTGAGAGGAGGAGGACTGAGGGCAGGATCCTGGCCTTGGTGCCGTGTTACACAGCTCCTGCTCCTGCACCAAGGCTTTGCGGGCCATGAACCGCTGGTGCTGCCGGCTTCTCCTCTTGAGTCTTTTCTGAACCACATCCTTGGTATCCAGGCTGGTGATGGATGAACACGGAGTAGACTCAGGGGCCACTCCCAGCACCATGCCAGGCAGCTCACGGCTAGGGGCAAGAGAAGCCCTGGAGGCTATCTTCCAACGGGGCAGAGTGCTGGAGAGAGACCACACAGGAAGAGGGGCTGGGAGGAGGATGCCAGGCCGCACTGCCTCTCATCTGGTGCTATTTGCAGCTCAAGCACTTGCCTGAAACTCAGACATCTTTACTAAGAACTGCACCCAAACACATGCCATACATGCCTTCTGCAAGCGTTACACAGAATCATTCCGCCCTCCCCACTGACACCACAAAGTCCATCACCCTTATTTCACAGAGGAGAAGCTGAGTAATTTGGCTAAATGCTGATAGGAATCCAGAGTCTAAGCTTTGAAGTCAAGCTGATCTCTAAAAGCAGTAGCTTACGAGACTGTTGGGAGAATGGATAAAGGGAAGCAAAGGATTCAGAAAAAGATTCCTGCTGAATATCACTCATCAAAAATCCCTAAAGCTGAAATTTGTAGAGCAAGGTTTAAGCTAGGTCTCTATAAACCACTGTGCTCCCATGTCTGACATACATATACTTCACACACAGTATGGCTCAATAGCTAGCTCTCAGCTCCTTTCCTCCAGCAAGACCAATTCTCTTTCTTACACTGGGCAGTCAGAGCTGCCTCCATCTGGATTCCCTGCTCTTCCCAAAACACCCCTCCCCATCTATCACATTGGTTTTATACTCCTCAGTCAACAAGTAGGCTTCCTCAGAGCTCCCTCCAATCAGCAAGCTGCAGAGAGAGCCCTGCTGTACTGGCTGACCCTCTCTTTTAACAGACTCTTTTCAGAAGCCCAAACAGGGCCTCCCAGTGTCCGGCCTGTGGGTACTTCTGAGCTCAATATCCTTGGAATCCCAGAGCAATGGGACTAACAGGAAGGGAACCTGGGAACCTGAGCAGGCATCCAATTGGGAAGAAACACTGAGTTAAGCAGGACCTGGTAATAAAGGGGGATGCTGCAGCATTTCAGACAGATTTCCCAGGTAGCCCAGGGAGGGAAGGTTGCTCAGAAAAGGGAAGCAACAGGCACAAAACCAAGACCAGGGAGAGAGGGCCAAGATTTTGGTGCAGCCTGTAAACAGCTAGGTAGCAGGGTGTGCAGACAGGTGGAGTGGGGGACAGCCAGTCACTAGTGACGAGACAAGGAGAGGGAGAGACTGGAGGGCTTCAGGGGACATCACAGCTACCTCACTGGAAGAGGTTAGACTAGGAGCATGGGCAGTAGCACAGGAAGGAGTAAGTTGCAAAGGCAGAGGGGAGGAAAGAGGGAAAGTCCTGTGTTTGCAGAAGTACTGCCCCACTTAGTCAGGAGGAGACTCGGTGACTCCTGCTGACTCACCTGTTCTCAGCTCACTCACCCGGTCTCCAAATAGTACCCCCTCTTTTAAACAGAGGTTGCCAGCAACTTCTTCATACGCACAAGCAACATCTCAGAACCGGAAAAACTCAGAATCTCAATTTGCCCTAGCCCAGCACTGGGAGGAAAACTGGCCTAGAAGACCCATGCTGGCCCTGCTGACCACGGACTTTCCCTGCTGGCAAGGTTTGAAAGAAGCTAATATTAGGTCCCCTTGAGGAAACATCTCTGGCCTTGTATCTGAATAGATAAAAGCAGTCATTTCCTATAGTCCCTGGGCCTGTGGACATGTCAGAACCAACAATTACCAAGGGAAGCCAATGAACGGAACTGGAGAGAAGTATCCAGAGGACAGACACAGCCCTTTCGGCAAGGACACGTGCAAATTTTTCTCCTCTTAACTCTGGTCAGTATGGTAGGCCTCCGGCTTTCAGGCCAAGGTGCCTGGCCCAAGAGGACTCCAGATGAGAAGGAGCCCAAGAAACCACAAACCAGAGTCGTCAGTGGCTTAAGGGCCATCCGCCTACTGGCAGACCAGGTCTCTCTCAAAGGGCCGGTTTAGATCCTGTTCTAGCACGAAATAACCAGATGACCTCGGGAAGGCACTGCCCCTAGCTTCGACTAGGTAGCCCTAGGGAGAAAGAAGGCAAAGTTTGGGGACAGGACCCAAGATCCTCCCTCAAATGACGATTCTGATAATCATCCCAGGAAAGCCTGGTGCAATAAGGTTCCCGGTGCTACCCAAAAGCTTACCAGACCAAGGGGGGAGAAGCACGCTCTCCCCACCGGTTGCGGCGTCTGGTCGGCGCCGTCGCCGCCCCCTCAGGCCCTCAGCCCCCGAGACCGGTCGGGACCGCGCGAGGCCACACGCCGGCCTGGCTGCACACCGCCCCGCCCCAAGAGCGGCCCACGGCTCGCGAAAGGGACAGGCGGCCCGGGATCGCCTAAAGACCCGGCAGCGTTTTCCGGGCCTACACGTGGAATCCTTGCCTGCCGCGGCAGCTGCTTGCCGGGACAAGCCCGGCTTCGGCTGCCTGTCTATTGGCTCGCTGGGCCGCAGCGCCCGCCTAAGGCCTCTCCTGATTGGTCTTCCTCGAGTAGGCGTGCCGGACCAGAAGGGGAGTGGTTACCTACGGGGCGTGGCTTGTGCGCAGACAGGGCAGTGTTTGGAGATTAGTAAGAGGTCGAATGGCCAGACGCTAGTGAAGGTGTTTCTTATCTGATGCCCAATGAACTTCAACCCACAGCCCCTCCTGCTTCAGGGTTTTGGGAATGCGGTGAAATATTAACAGTATACAGGGATGTGGTGGCACACGACTTTAATCACAGCATTCACCAGGCAGAAGCAGGCAGATCTCTGTGGGTTCCAGGCCAGCCTGGTCTACAGAGCAAGTTCCAGGACAACCAGGGCTACAAAGAAACCCTGACTCAACAACAACAATAATAATAATAACAACAACAATAAAAATATAATACAGTATCAACAATAAAAATATAATACAGTATCTGATAAACTTGAAAAAATCATGTTTGCTTCTTCTGCACTGATATTTCAATATTTGATTTTTTTGAGACAGGTTGTCATGTAGCCCAGGCTGCCTCCACATTTTCTTTTTGTCCTTGCATCAAGTTGACTTAATGTCCTTGAATTTTCAATGTAGCTGAGCAAGAATTTTAATTTCTGATCCTCTTGCCTCTGACATCCCAGTGTTAGGATTACAACATTTTGCCACCGCACTCAGTATCATTTGTGATACTTTTACTCATACACTTCTTTCCTTATGAAAAGTTTTAAAAATAGGGTGGGAGAGTTGACTTGGGAGGTAAAAAGTACTTGCTCTGTAAGCCTGACAAAGCTAGATGCAGTAGTATACATGTGCAATCCCCATACTCCTACAGGGAGATGGTACATGGAAACAAAAACTGAAGTTCTCTGGCCAGCTAGGATAGGAGGGTAGAAGCAGAAATGAGACACCCCAGTCAACAAAAAACTCCCTAAAGTTGTCTTCTAACCTACATATGTGTGCTCACGCTCTCTCTCTCTCTCTCTCTCACACACACACACACACACACACACACACACTTTAACAAGTAAATTTTAAAAAGGAAAGCTAAAGGAGCTCATAGGCCCCAGAGGTAAACCTACTACTATTATTTTGCTAAATGGACAGACAGTATCAAACTTCCCTTAAAATTTGTATTTTCATAAATTAGATTGGTGGAACGCTAAGACCTAATTAGCAAAGGGTTTTTTTGTTTATTTGGTTTTGGTTTTTAGTTTTTGTGCACTCGACAGTCCTTAACACAGAAACTCAAAACTGGTCAAACAGCAAATCAGTGTTGTGGAGTGTTCAGCCACTAAAGGAGACATCTATGCCCATGCCTCTTCTCCCCAAGGCTCAGGGACCATCTCTGTAACAGCCAGAGGTTGAAGAGGACTGGAGTAAGACAGTGTCTCTTGGGCAAGGAAAGACTGCTGGACCCATGTATTTCAGCTATTTATATAAGAAGAGGTGTTTCTTTATGGAAAGCCATCTCCAGAACTCAAAATGGTAGGAGAAATTCTTAACCATTGTAGTTTTTTTGGAGCATGGTACTGGGGTAAAAGTCAATATAATCTGTTCCAAGAGTCATCATGTGTTTTTTAAAACTGATAATGTGCCGGGCAGTGGTGGTGCATGCCTTTAATCCCAGCACTCAGGAGGCAGAGGCAGGTGGATCTTTGTGAGTTCGAAACCAGCCTGGTCTACAAGAGCTAGTTCCAGGACAGCCTCCAAAGCCACAGAGAAACCCTGTCTTGAAAAACAAACAAAACGAAAAACAAACAAACAAGTTGATAATGTGATGGGCATGATAACCAGATAGGGCTGAGACACTGTCTTTAAATATAATGTGCTAGGGGTTGCTAAAGAGATGGCTCAGTGGTTAAGAGCAGTGACTGCTCTCCTAGAGGTCCTGAGTTCAATTCCCAGCAACTACACAGTGGCTTGATGGCTCACAACTACCTGTAATGAGATCTGGGGCTCTCTTCCAACCTGCAGGGACACATGTAGGCAGTACACTGTATATACATAATAAATAAAAATTAAAAAAAAGATAATGTGCTGGGTAGTGGTGGCACATGCCTGTAACTCCAACATTTGGGAGGTGAAGTCAAAGGTTGAGGGGTAGAAAGTCATCCTTGGCTAAATAGCAAGTTGGGAGCCACCGGGGTTATAAAGGACCTGCCTCAAAAAATAAAATAAAAAACAATTAGTAAAGTTAAAATCAAGATGGTTTTACTATGGTGGTTTGGTTGCATTTATTTGACAATGCTGAGTTTTGTTTTTTGGCTTTTGCTTTTCAATACATTTATTTTGTATCTGTGTAGGTACACATATGCCATGAAGTGGTCAGAGGACAACCTGTGTGACTTGGTTCTCTCCTTCTTCCAGGTGGGTTCTGGGGATCCAACTCATGCTGTCAATCATGGCAGCAAGCACCTTTACTCCTTGAACCATCTCACCAGCCTGTATTTTTAAGGGTCTTGGGTAACCCAGGTTGGCCTCCAATTTGCTATATAGCCAAGGATGATCTTGAACTTCTCTCCACCTTCCAAATGCTAAGATTATAAGACTGTGCTACCACAGTCAGTACATAAAGTGCAGGGGATGGGACCCATGTCTTCCTGTATGCAAGCACTCTACCATCTAGCTTTATCTCTAACACTCATATATTTTACTTTTGGTGTGTGTGTGTGTGTGTGTGTGTGTGTGTGTGTGTGTGTGTGTGTGCGCACGCGTGCGTGTGCACGTGTGTGCGTGCATGCATGCAGTCATACTGGCCTAACTTTTTTTTAGGATGTTAATATTTCTGATACATCCTTTGTGTCTACTTAGATTTATGTTGTTAATATTAGAAAACAAAATGGAGGCCCCAGGCATGCGGGACAGTTGGCATTTTGACTGTGGATGGTAGGATACAGCCTCACTTCTTAAAGGAAGCCACTGAGCTCACTTTCCCAACCCTGAGTGAAAACATGAGTCCTCCTTCCAGAAGGATTGGGAGTTTTTCTATAACAGAAACTATGTGAGCTGGGCCCTGCTCAAGCCCCACCTCTAAGGACCCCTTCCTCTGGGTGGTTTCGATCAGGAAACACAGTTTGATCCCCAGAGGTGTGATGGTGCAACTCTGCTGCCACAGCAACTGGGAGGTGGAGGCAGGAGCAGCAGCAGTTCAAGTTTGCCTTTACCTACAGGGCAAGTTCAACTGGGAGAAGGGAACGTCTGGGAAGTAAGACGGTGTGTGTGTGTGTGTGTGTGTGTGTGTGTGTGTGTGTGTGTGTGTGTTTGGGTTCTGGTTTGTTTTTCAAGAGAGTGTTTCTTTCTGTAGCCCTGACTGTCCTGGAACTAGATCTGTAGCCTAGGTTGGTCTAGAACTCACAGAGATCCACCTGCCTCTGCCTCTGCCACCACTTGGCAAGAATTGATATTTTGCTCTTGCAAAGTATGCACCATGTGCTGTCCTACCTGCCGTGTGTACCCATTCTGAGGACAGCTGAGGGTGCTGTAGGGATGTCCTTATTGCTGAATTGGGTGCAGATCTGAAAGGGGACACCCATCTGGTTGGCTTTCAGAGTGGTGGTTCTTAATATGTCAGAGCCATAGGCATTACCTGGGAAGTGCTTTGACTCACTGAATGAAGAGAAAGGAGGTGGGATCTGGCAATTTTGTGTGTATTACCGTGGATAGAACACAGGGCCTTAGCACATATGAGGCAAGCACTCTACCACTGAGCCACACAGCCAGCAATCTGTCTCCAAGCTAACAAGCTGCTTAGCCAAGTTCAAGCTCAGCTGGCAGAATTGAAGGGACCACATGTAAATCATTTACTCATACAGCGTCCCCCTCCAACAGCACTCCAAAACCAACGGCGGCTGAACTGGACTTTGGACCTAGACATGTATGGTGCCATTATACTTCTCCCACCTCCTAAGGATGTGCAGCACTCTGGCCTGGGTTAATATCACACTTTATTTTTTTATCACGCAAGATTGAGGTGCTTCCATCTGGAGAATTTTATTCCCTACCGTTGCTTGTTCTGTTCTAAGCCACGTCTTTTTCATGTATCAAATTAATCCTTAACTCAACTCGGCAGTCGTCAGTTTCGATTGATCCTGGAGAGCTTGAAAAACTACCGACATTTGGGTCACAGCCCAAGATTCTGACTTTATACAAGGTCTGGCTGGATTTGTTCTTCACCTTGGCCCACCGAGAACCGTCGCTGGAGAGCAGGTACCTAGAGACCAGCAGAGGGCGCTGCGGCCCTGTGTATTAAGGGAAACGCGTGTAAGGTGATCTTACCAGAGGAGGTCATGGAGACCCAGATGATCTAACCCTTGAGTCAACGACCCTGTTGTGTTGTAGAGGTCCTGAAACATCACCTTACCATAGAAAGTAAAGAATTGTCTATTTTGCCAAGTAACTTGAGTCAAGTTGTCTGTCTAAACCTTGATTTGTGTCTTTAAAAGGAGAGGTTTAATCAAACTCGATATATTTATTATTATTATTATTATGATGATGATGATGATGATGATGATGATGTATTGATTGCCTTGAAGTAGACAAGATTCTGCTCTTGGGAAGGGGAAGATTAATATTAAATGGGCTGATAAAACTGCATGAGAAGGAAGGCTAGTATAAAGGCTTCGAGGTAAAATACGGTGACTGAGTCCACTGAAGAGCAAAACTGCCCAGAGGCAAGAAACCCAACGCTATCCTGTGCTGTAATGCCCACCCCCCATGGGCTGGAGTAATGGCTCAGCCATTAAAGGCTAGGTTCACACCAAAAATAAAACACCCCCCTTGCCAAATTATCATGACCACCTAGCTAGGTAGATGGGATCAGTAACAT